TTTCTCTCTATCCTGTCTCTCTTTCTTTCTCCTCTCTTCCATTCTATTTACCTTCCCCCCTCTCTCTCTCTCTCTCTCTCTCTCTCCTCTCTTCCATTATCTCTATCTTCTCTCTCTCTCTTTCTCTCCACTCTCTCTTCCTTTCTCTCTCCCTTCCACTTCCTTTCTCTCACCCTCCCTCTTTCTCCCCCTCCCTCTCTCTCTATGCATTGATAAACGCATCAATTAACTTTATTCCCTCAGCTACTCCAAGATTTAATTCACCTAACCACTGTTGACCTCAATGGTCTATCCACTCTAACTACCTGCCCTTTCTACCTCTCTCCAATACCTGTCTTTTCTAACTGTCATTTCTACTTGTCGTTTCTACCTGTCTCATACCTGTCATTTCTACCTGTCATCCCTGTCATTTTACCTATCATTTCTACCTGTCACATCTACCTGTCATTTCTACTTGTCATTTCTACTTGTCATTTCTACCTGCTATTTCTACCTGTCATTTCTACTTGTCATTTCTACCTGCCATTTCTACCTGTCATCCCTGTCATTTCTACTTGTCATTTCTACCTGCTATTTCTACCTGTCACCCATCTTTGTTTTATTTCATCAACGTATTTTAGTTCATATTTACTAATAACTCTCACCTACTGTATACACTTCTATTAATAGTCACTAACAGCTGTAAGTTTACCTTCAGAATTACTCATTATTGTCATTAATAAAGCAGGTAAGTTTCCTTCTATTCATCCTCATTATGCCTTTCAAACAAGCTGCTGCCCTCTATATCATTCTTACTCATTCATATATGAAACTACCAAACAGGCAAGACCACATTATAAATATATGCAGTAGTTATATTTTCATTCGAAGTCATTTATTTTCTTCCTGACAGACTATGATATTTTTGCTTCACTCTCTATATCAACTAGGAGTAAGAGTCAATAATCTCTACTTTATCTTATTCATTTTTAATAGTAAACATAACAGTATTCTATTAATTATATTTTACGTTTTTTCTTAAGACTCATAAATGCACATATAAAAATCTTCTTATTCAGTAGATATTTTTAACTCTTATTTTTTAATGCAAATACTCTTAACTCTTGTCATTAATTGTATTGCCTTTTCATCTTAAAGCCTCTCACAGTTTTCCCTCACTGAGCAACTTTTCCTCGTCAATTGTGAACTTTTTATTTTATTATTTTATTTTTGCAAGAGTTAGGGATTGAATTTTATCTTGAGTTAATTACTATTATTTGGTTATTTCGTGTTATCTCATCTTCTTCACTTCCTTCCTTTGATCTCATATGATTTCTTGTACCTCTATAAAATCCTGGTAACAAACCTCTTCATTTGATATCCATTTTTTTTATATTATATCATTGTTTTTATCTACTGTTTTAAAATGATTTATTCCTCCCTAGTGTCACCAATCCTCACTAACAATTGACCTCATATGACCTCTTCAACATTTCAAGCACTGTTAACCTCTCATTCTACCCTTATATTCAATTGTTTACATTACCTGTTATCCCCATGATATGTGTCTAGCCACTGTCTATGTATACTTATGAATTGCTATCTTTTAAAACCACATATTCACCACCATTAGTTATCTTTCAGTATATACATAACTAACAGTCTTCATCTATTTCCATTTATTTCTGGCATGCAATAATGTTCCTAAATCCAATCCACTTTTCCTTTTCACCTTACTGATTTATGTTTTAATCTCTCACAATGAACCTTTCAACACACTGATTCTTATCTTCCCCAAAACCACTTTCTTTTTCTCTCGATTTTTCGCATTTTTCACCTATAGAGTCCTCATCCATAACCCATCTCTCATAGCCTGATGCATATATTCTGGAGATGAGTCCACATCCTTTTTACTCCACATTTCATCACTCACAGTCTTACCTTTATTTCTTATATTTTCAGACACTCTGGACTTTATGTCTCTCACTTATTCCTAACATATCTCTTCTCTCTGCTCCTCAGCTTAACTTCATTCAGAGACACATTAAATTTTCTTTCATCCATCGTAACTTTATTTTTCTTTTTTAACTTGTCATTCTGGCTACACCGGCACACATTGAGTCTGCCTCGTTTTTTTTCTTTGTTTGCATATAGAGGAGATGGAGATACCAAGCCTACCTCCGCCCCTGGTGCCAGCGTGTGTGTGTGTGTGTGATCAATCTCCACTGCACTTTGAGATACAAAAATTCTTCCTTGGGTCAATAAAACGGCGTGGTATGTTAGTGATGGGGGTATAATAATAATAATGATAGTAGTAATAACAACACACCTGGGAGGCAGGTGAGGCGGGGCGGGGTGGGGTGGGTGGGTGGGTGGGGTGGGTGGGGTGGGTGGGTGGGGTAGGGTAGGGTAGGTAGGGTGGGGTGGGGTGGAGGCAGGAGGGAGGGGGTGAGGTGGGGTAGGGTAGGTAGGCAGGTGGAGGCGGGGTGGAGTGGGGTGGGGTGGAGGGGTGAGGGGTGGGGTGGGGTGAGGTGTGTAGGGTAGGGTAGGTGGGGTGGAGGCGGGATGGAGGTGGGGTGGAGGTAGGTGGGGTGGGGTGAGGTGAGGTGAGGTGGGGTAGGTGTGGGTGGGGTGGGGTAGGTAGGGTAGGGCAGGGGTGGGGTGGGGTGGAGGGGTGGGTGGTGGGTGGGGTGAGGTGAGGTGAGGTGGGGTGGGGTAGGTAGGGTGGGGTGTAGGGTAGGTAGGGTAGGGTAAGGTGGGTGTGGGGTGAGGTGAGGAGGTGAGGGAAAGGGGTGTAGGTAGGGTAGGGTAAGGTGGGGTGGGTGGGTGGGGTGGGGGTGTGTGTGTGGGGTGGGGTGGGGTGGGTGGGGTGAGGTGAGGTGAGGTGAGGTGGGGTGGGGTAGGGTGGGGTGGGTGGGGTAGGGTAGGGTAGGGTAGGGTAGGGTAAGGTGGGTGGGGTGGGGTGAGGTGCATCATGGAAGCAGTACCCACCATGCAAGTACAGCAAAACACTGGTACACCACTACACATATTTCCTGGAGTTGAACCTTGTCATGTATTCACAGGATCAACATGGCGTGTGGAGGTGACAAAAGACGTTGTGTGTGTGTGTCATCCCTCACCTGTAATGCACCAACTCTCACCATCTATTAATGCCTCACTTATACCTGAATTATCGTAAAATATTCACCAGTAATACATCATAGTTCTGTTTACCTCTCTGAAGCGCGTTCGTGTTAGAGGATAAGTCCACAACAAGACGACTGATAAAAAAAAATAAAAAAATGCCAACTGCGGTAAAAAAATCGTAAAACCAATTTGAAGACTCACGTTCTTTAAGGGTTTTTTGTAAGTCTCCCTAAAAGATGGACAAACGAGGAAAAACTGAACACCACACCTGGCACTGAACAACACATCTGGCACTGAACAACACATCTGGCACTGAACAACATAACTGACACTGAACAACATAACTGACACTTAACAACACACCTGGCACTCAACAACACACCTGGCATTCAACAACACACCTGGCATTGAACAACAATCAACTCCCCATCTACTAAATTGCACGTAATTGATTTCACCAATAGTTGCTTCTCACTACTTACGGGAAAGAATAGCACTCACCAGAAAGGCCATTTACTGTAATTATGGGTCAAAATTGTCTGTTCCTTCACCACAACACAGTTCTAAAGGCCAGAGGAAAACTGTATGACCACTACACCTACTACCTGGCCACCAAACCTGCTACCTGGCCACCAAACTTGCTACCTGGCCACCAAACTTGCTACAAGGCCACCAAACCTGCTGCCTGGCCACCAAACCTGCTACCTGGCCACCACACCTACTAGCTAGCCACTACCCCAGCTGCTACGCATATTGTTGGTGATCCCATTGCTGCGGCCCCCTGTGGTTCCCAACTGAACAATGGCGATGAATGACCAGCTATAAACTGCCGTCTTTCATATGTAAATGTGTCGGATTAACTCACCGTGTGAATCCTCTTACTCCTGATGGGCTTTGATTAACACACCTGATACTGATGCTATTTAAAAACGGACTTACTTTACCGACGAAAGAATTTACTTTACACTGAAACATTTTAACCCAATTTAAAGTGTTATCGTCACAAACAACACCGGAAACTCTATACCGGAAATGAGGATGTAGTGACTTCATTGGAATAATTACGTAGATAAATGGAGATTATTGCAGCTCCTGGATAACTAGGTCAGTATGGCATGAACACTACTGGTATGAGGTATTAAACTGATCCACCGTCCATTACGTAGGATGGTCGTGTTATGGTGGCGGGGATGTTGATGTAAGCTTGGATGATGCGAGTCATTAGGTGTTATGGACAACCTTGTGTGAGATGATGTCGGTGGATCTGTGGCTGGCAGTCCCGTGACAAGGGATGAATTTGGTCTTTACCCACTGGACTTAACATACAAATACGACTCTGTTACACTAGGCGACCATTATGCCCATTCATTATTCAAAACCATCTGTAAATTAGTATTAAATATTTCAAGAAAAACTATGACCATAATAGATTAAAAAGATAAAAGTTATTCGCAAAATACCAGAAACTTACAATAAACTTTACTATAATTTCTATCAAGGATTCTTATAAGCTTAGGAAACGCCAAGAGTGTGTTTATAACCAGGTGAGACAGCCCCGAGATGTACTGTAAACAAGGAGACTCCATTCTTGCCCCATAGGTAAATCCCCTTCAGTCTACACCATCCAACATCCCTTCACAATACAGACGATGTATTGTTACTGAGGCAATATGCAAGTACAGGTATCTATCAGCCAGGAATAGACTCATAACTTTAATAAAACACAAATCCATTAAGTCTGAACTCTATCTTATCACCTCCATGGCGACAAACACGACCCTAAGGCAAGTGAGGTTCCTTTTCAGTCTAAACACACTAACCTCCCTAATGTAAACAAACAACAGCTGATTTTAACCACTGTTCCTTATCTCCTTATCACCCCTGTCACTTACCTGTAGTTCTTTTCCAGGTGAGGGTGGGTGTGGGTGTGCCCTGGGCGTGACACTCAAGGGCTACCTCCTCACCGCCCACCACAGCCACATCCTGAGGCTCCACCACCCACGACGGAGGCACTGCAAAAGAAGAACAATACAATTAGTGTTTTATCACCCACGACGAAGACACAACAGGGAACAAGAAAACATCGTTAGTCGTCCATTACTTCATGAACGACAGAATAACAGTCAAAGAGGGTAAATATTGCTCTCATTATCGGGTGAACTTCGAAAATAAAAACATATTTTTCTAAACCTTCATCCGGACAATGTAAGCTAAACTAATCTTGATTATTATCCTGATAAAGCTAATTTAAATCTAACTTCACCAAATATCTTCTCTAACCCGTATCTTTACCTGAGCTAACTTGATGTTATTTCATATTGTATCATCTATTCTAACCTGACCTAAGAAGTTCACACGGAAATTTTTTTGGGGATATGGCCCAAAAAATTTCTTACTCTGGGAATTCTACACATTATGGCTTCCATTAGCGGACAACAATAACGGACCGGTATTTTGAGGCATATGCTGGACTTCGTGGAAACTCAGAAACGGACACCTCTCATTAACGGATTTTACTGCTGTTGGTTCTCCCGTAAGTAGAAATGCCCGTCCGCTAGTGAAAATATCTGCTATAAAGAATGAGGCACCAGGAGACTCACCAGGAGACTCACCAAGAGACTCACCAGGAGATTCACCAGGAAATTCACTAGGAGACTCACGAGGAAACTCACCAGGAGATTCACCAGGAGACTCACCAGGAGATTCACCAGGAGACTCACCAGGAGACTCAACAGGAGACTCACCAAGAGACTCACCGGGAGACTCACCAGGAGACTAACCAAGAGACTCACCAGTAGACTAACCAAGAGACTCACTAGGACTCACCCGTAGACTCACCGGGAGACTCACCGGGAGACTCACGGTCATCAGTCACCAGGTCATCCATCAGTGGCTTACGATGGTGATGAGAGTTTGGTTGGTGAGAAAAAGTTGAAGCATTTTATTCTACGACTTGGTTAGGTTAGGTTAGGTTAGGTTAGGTTAGAGAGCTGATGAACAAATTTCGTGAGAGACTGACTGACTGACTGACTGACTCACCAACATAACTCTTCTGTGTAGTTTTGTTGGGCGTGTTAAAATCCTCACACTGTTGCAACTATTTCCAGTTTTTGTCATAAATTAAATCATTTCCATAAAGAACAAAGGATTTTAAAACAGTAGTTAGCATTGTTTCTTGTATCATTATAACTACAGCATTTAAAGAGGTGTAGCTCCAGTCTTAGGGATCAGTAGCTTGTGTTCAGATCATCTCCCGACCAACCAGCTGGAAATAGGTACCGTTGCCTCCGTTTATAACTGGTACAGTGGTTGGCATGTTTTGTGAGATGTGGCACCACCGCCCACCAGACAGGAACCAATGACGTTCTACTTGGTAATCTATATTAAAACCATAACCATACAGGAAATGCGTAAATTCACAGACAGAGAGGCGAGGGATGGGGGGTGGGGGGCACAGATTATTTAGCATCCTTGGTGGTTACTATAGTGAGAGTAGTTCTGCCCATTCTGCTAATTTTACCACGATGTAAACAAACAGTGGTGCCACATCTCACAAAACACGCCATCCACTATACCCAGTTATAAATGGGGGCAACTGTACCAAATTTTTACACTCGGGGAAAATGAAAGCCATCTCCTCGTGTACTCTACGGGGCCAACTTTCACGTTCAAAGAAAGAAAGAAAACACAAATAGAGAGGACCAGGATGATCCCCGCCCCTCTCCCGCCGCCGCCGCCCTCCCTGTGGGGATTTTGTGTGTCCGGGACGAGGGAGCCTGATGGATGGAGGCTTCAAGGCTCTCACTTCCCGATAATTCCTCAAGACCCGCCACGCAGGGAAACTAACTCTCCCCCGTAATTGTTAAACCAATATATGAAAAAAAAATATACTGTTTTCTCAGAGGAGGAGGGAGAAGAGGGGGGAGGGAGGAGAAGGGAGAAGGGAAAAGGGGCGAGAGAAAAGGGAAGAAAGGAAGGGAGAGGGTAGGAGCAGGGAGGAATCAAGGGGGAGAAAAGAGGCAGTGAAGAAAAACAAATCCCCGCTGCAGTACATAGCAAGACCTCGAACACACACAGGAGTTGTTAGCATAAGTCAGCCACACACCAGAACCCGTGTAGCGACTCAGCACCACACCTACACTACCTACACCACACCTACACCACACCTACACCACACCTACACCATACCTACACTTTATATATACATCACATCACCTGGAAACTAACATCAAATATTTTAACCTTTTATTGAAGTGACACACAGGAAATTTAAATGCACACGTACCCTTATTTGTATGTATGTATGTATGTATGTATGTATGTATGTATGTATGTATGTATGTATGTATGTATGTATGTATCAAAACTTCAAAGTTCAGTCATAAATCTTATCAAAAATCCCCGATATCAATGTTTACACAACTGTATTTTTCCATCTTTAAAATTAGGAAGAAATAACCCCATTAGGTAAACATAACATTCAGCCAACACAATCTTCAGTAGGTAACAACCATTGCCCAGAATACAAATGGGTTACAAACTACATGGTACTCAATTGACCCCATTTCGTCGATATGAAAAATGATAAGAGACGAAAATTGCTCTCTGATTGCTTGCGTCGTCGAAAACATGAAACGTGACTCCATTGGTGTCTGATAGTCACTCAGATCTCGACAAATAACAGCAATTCACACATGTTTACAGTATGATTGGTAAGTAGCGTTTATACAACATAAGTTAGTCATTTTTTTTAAGTAACACAATGAGGAAAACAGTGTTTAAGTGAAGCAGTACAACACAACTACTTGACAACAGACTGCAACAACACAAACTAGTGACACGAAGAGAGAGTATTATGGCAGTATGTCCTAATAAGACATCTACAAACAACACACCTTAGTAAACACACCCAACACACCTTAATAAACACATAACGCACCTTACCAAACACACCCAACACACCTTAGTAAACACAAAAATACACCTTACCAAACAACACCCAACACACCTTAGTAAACACACAAACACACCTTAGTAAAAACACCCAACACACCTTAGTAAACACACCCAACACACCTTAATAAACACATAACGCACCTTACCAAACACACCCAACACACCTTAGTAAACACCCAACACACCTTAGTAAAAACACCCAACACACCTTAGTAAACACAACCAACACACCTTACTAAACACACCCAACACACCTTAGTAAACACACAAACACATTATAGTTTAACATCACAACCTGACCTTAAGATGCAGTAGCCAGTTCCCCCAGTACCCAGGTGAGATGAAGTGATGATTGGGGGTCTTTGAAGGTTAATTGGCTGACCCTGTTTTTTTTATCTTACCTGTGTTTTTTTTTATATGGTTGTGTTCTTATAAACTTCCCAAACACCCCTTGAAGTCTGCCGGGAATAAATATTTACTGAGTCAGCAGGCTACACTCTCTCTCTCTCTCTCTCTCTCAAATACCGAAGAGGCTAGTCAATATTTTTCAACCCAAATTAAACATATTTACATAGGACCCAACTAATGCTCTTTTAACCCTGGAGGTGTGGTGCTCATCAATGATGAGTTTTTCAGTGAGTGTGTTGACGGGAATATGAATTCACACACACACACACACACACACACACACACACACACACACACACACACACACACACACACACACACACACACACACACACACACACACACACACACACACACACACACACACACACACACACACACACACACACACACACACACACACACACACACACACACACACACACACACACACACACACACACACACACACACACACACACACACACACACACACACACACACACACACACACACACACACACACACACACACACACACACACACACACACACACACACACACACACACACACACACACACACACACACACACACACACACACACACACACACACACACACACACACACACACACACACACACACACACACACACACACACACACACACACACACACACACACACACACACACACACACACACACACACACACACACACACACACACACACACACACACACACACACACACACACACACACACACACACACACACACGGTTGTTCAGGTGTAAGGCGCAGTGGTAATATCATTCGCTGTAGAATGATTTACCCTTTATCGTACCTAATTTCACAGATAGGAAAGTTCAATCCCTTGAGTACGATGACTTTAACCCTACCCTTTGAGTTCCATGATTCTAACCTCTTGAGTACGATCATCCTAAAGTCATTGTACTCAAGGAATAAGTCATCGTACTCAAGGGATAAAAACCATCATACTCAAGGGGTTTAAAATCATCATACTCAAAGGGTAAAAAGCATCATACTTAAGGGGTAAAAATCATCGTACTCTAGGGATAAGTCATCGTACTCAAGGGGTTAAGGCGGTAGAGAGAGGCTCCAACTACAATGACTTCACGTGTATAGACTCAAGATAAAGACTCTTGTTGCTACACTGCCTGAGACCCTCTTTCCATCTATACGGTCAAACAGAATCAATTCAGCTAAGGCAAAGCAATATGCAACAAACAGCATCAGAATCCTTATACTATTAACTATGGAGCGATAATAGTTATCTTATTGGCAACAAAATTCTGTAAACTTCCTCGAAATCCGCCGTTTTAATTGTATGTTTATAAAAAAAGTTAATGAAGTTGTTTACATCGATATCTGTATAACATAAAATCAACCAATGAATATTAAGCAAAAAGACCGTTAGCCAATTAGATGTGAGCAGGTGGAAAAAAAAATACAAGCGACCACAATGTAAATGAATTGTAAAGAGACAAGTGGTAAACATTGACGTAGATCTTCGAAAAGTTACATATAAATGTCTAAAACATAAATCCAACCAGTAAAAAAAGACACAAAAAGACAAGAGAACCAATCAGAAGCGAGTATAACGTCTATGGTCACTATAGCTCTGAGAGTTCAAACAGGGTCGAGTCTC